ACTTGGGCTGCCGAGGAGGCTCACTTTGACCTGGAGTGCCTCAATGGCTCTTCCATCCTCAGCCACCAAGGGATGAGGAAGGGCAGCACTCGGCTGGAAGGTTCTGAGAGGCCAGGCAGCTTTTTGAACCAGATGCCAAGCACTGCATACACTCTGAGCTAAAGGTGGGGCTGGGAGCCCACGGTGGCACAGTGGTAAACCGTCATGCTCTGCGAGGTTGACCCACCTGGGAAGATTCTGGGCCTGTGTCCAGAGGTCTCCCTGAACGTGCCAGCCATGTGCGTGCCCATGATGTCAAGACCCTGTTGGGGGTGTGCTCATTCTCTGTCTCATGCATGGAGGTAATAAATAAATAAACCTAAAAAATAAAGTGGAGGGGCTGACAGGTGGTGTGGCGGTTAAGGTACTGGACTCCCACATGGCTGACTGTGGTTCGAGTCCTGTCTCTGGTGGGGTGGTTTCTCACTTTCCCTCTCTCTCTGGCCAAATTAATAATAATGATGATGATGATGACGAATAAGTTGAATTTAATAAAATAATTCTTTAAAAAAAGAAATAAAGTGGGAGGGTGCAAGGAGGATTGCAGGCTGAGTGTTATGGGGGAGGTGAGGCTGAGGCGATACTTGGGCACAGTCGGCCATTTGCACTCAAACTCCAGAGTCTCACGGTTCCCAAGCTGTCTCCATCCCGACCCAGTGTCTGCTCACCCACCCAAAGGCTAGGATGAGGCCAAGACTGACCGCTAAGGCCCCAAAACAGAGGGGCCGGCACTTTTCCCTCAGATGTTTGCACCAAGGAGGGAGACAGAGGTGAGAATGGCCAGAGATGGATTTGCCTTCCACACTTGTGGCTGAAATCCTGAAAATTCCAGTTCTGGCCTCCCTGTAGGCAGATCCCACAGACAGGGCCCGCCTGCTAAAGCTGACCACGTCCCAGACTAGAAGTCAAAGCCGCAGTCCAGGGGCCAGGCAGTGGCACAGTGGCAGCACAACCGGGCCCACGTGGGACAGGCCCAGGACACCCCCGAGCATGCCCACGATCCAGGCCCCTGAGCCAAGGGTGGATGACGGCATGAAGACCCTGCTGGGGAAGCCTTTCTCTCACTCTCTGAAGAAAGAAACATAAACTGCAAAAAGCAGCGACAGTCCGCACCCAGCTCATCTTCCAGGGTGTCCTCCCATTTTGTTCATCGATAAATCATCTGAAATATATTTGAGGTAGTATATTGTAACATTCACACTTAAGAGCAAATGCCACACTTCAAAGACATTTTACAAGACCATATCCTTCTAGGTCTCTAGAATAAATTCAGTCGTTTGGGATGTTTGGGTGGGAAAGTTTAAAAAATCTCTGCTAAGGCAATTTTGCCATTAATGGGCTATGTAACCACAGGCATGCCATGTCACATGGCTCTGGGCTCCTCGGGCCTCCCCCCACTAGGGATTTCAGCTCCCCAGAGCTTCTTGCAGGCTTACTAACCAGGAGCCATTAGGGCTCCACGTTTATTCCTTCTAGCAAAACTTTCACGGCTAGCTCCATAGAGCAGTGCTTAAGCACTATGTGAAAGGAGCCTGATCCCACCGACTATGGTTCGAATCCTGACCTCAGTGGCGTGAAAAAGACACAGGGCCCATGTATATGTGTGTCTAGGGTCCTGACAGGAAGGAGGAATGGACAAAAGGGGATTGCAGCATGACCGGGCCCTACTGGAGGAGGGGCGAACTCTTGTCTGTCTCTCTGGCCTCTGTATAGACCCTCTGGCATTACAAAAAAGAAGAAAAAAGAAAAATCAGGCCACTGGGGCCGAATGATCATGCGGCAGCAAAAGTGCTCCATGAGGCTGGCTCCCATGGGAAGGTTCTGGGTTTGCGTGGAGAGTCCTTTCTGAGTACTCAGGGCATGTGTGTGCCTATGATCCGGGACTTGCTGAAGCTGCGGGTGGATCCTGGTGCCAGGACCCTGTTGGAGGCACTGTCTGCACATTTCTCTCAATCAAGAAAGAAAGAAACTTCAACACATTTACAAAACAAAACTTTCAGGCCATCATCTCATCACTCCAGGAACGAACTTTCCTATCACTCAGAAAAATCGTACACCGTTTAGTGATAACTTTTTTTTTTTTTTTAAGTTTTTGCAATAGGGGCATGTGCACTCACCAGAGAGATAGAGAGGGAAAGTGAGAAATCACCTCCTCCCCCTCCACGGGAGGGATAGGCATGCTGCAATCCATTCTCCTCCATTCTCCTCTTGGGATTTCACACACACACACCTGGTGTGATTTTCAAGCCAACAGGTCTGGGGCTCGAACTGCAGTTAGCCATGTGGGAGTCTACTGTCTTAACCACCATGCCACCTGCTGGCCCCAATGTTTGTTTTTAAATTTGCTATAGGGCACATGCACTTGCTGGAGAGAGACAGAGAAAAAGGGGACAGTGGCAGGGGGTGGGAAGAGCAGATGAGAAAGCAATCTTTAGAGGGGATGGCCACACTGCAATCCTTTCTCCTTGATTCTCCTCTTGGGATTTTGGAGATGCATGTACATCTGATGGTGTGTTTTTCAAGCCACCGGGTCCGGGACTCAAACTGCACTGGCTGGCCCCGATAATGTGTCAGTAGGAGATACTGGGTTAAGCGTCTTCTCCCTCCTTAACACATATTTCATTTCAAGAGACCATCTGGAGCTCCTGGGCTTTCACCTAAGGAGGGGCTCTAGGGCAAGCAGTGGGGCAGACCAGCAGGTACAGGAGCTAGAGGAGTGAGCGGGCCCTCACCCGTAAACCCCCATGCCCATGGTCTCCAAGAAGCTCTCATGTGGAGTGGATGCGCAAGTCCTTTGCAAAGATAAAAACTGGGCCGAGTGCCACAGAGAGCCCATTTGGGAGTGAGGAAGATCGAGTTCCAGTCCTGTCTCTGCCTCTGCCTTGCTCACCCTTCAGCTTCAGAGCTGGGTCCAACTCCTATCCAGGACATGCATTTAGAGCGCTGGCCACGGCCACACCAGCTGCCAGAGCCTTGGAGTCCAAACTCATTTGCTTGGTTTCCAAAGGTCATTCACAGCCTGACCCCACCCTACCTACTCAGCCTTGTTTCCCATGATTTCCCAACTCAAGCTGGGCTTCAAGCCCAGTGGTCTCCTCACGGTCCCCGAGGAAACATTCCAGGCTCATTCACGGAGTTTCTCAGGCCTGCCATGCCCCTGCTGCTCCTTTTTGGCTAATCAAACTATGCCCATGCAGCACCCAACCAAGGTCTCCAGCCCCATGGAGCTGCTTATGCCCTGGTACTATCATCCAACCCACGGAGCCCCCTTCTCTCAACTCCCATGCCCCTAAATTCCACCTGAGACCTCTTCATCCCACACAGACGTCAATGACTGATCATTTCCTGTGTTTCCATGCTTTCCCAACAGGTGGTAAAACCCGCAGGATCCAGGCCTATTTCAACCTCTCCTGATTCGAAGACAGGTCTGGGCATTCCCGAATTAAGTCCACGTAAAGCCTCAACCCAAGGGAGACCTCTAGAAGAGACCACGGGTCCTGATAGAGCTTAGGGCTACAGCCCAGGGGTGGGGTAGCGGTAGAGTAGGGGGCAAAGGTCGCCAGGGCTCCTATGTTACCTTTCCTTCGTTAGGGGCAACATGTACCGGCTAGAGTCATTTATTCCGAGCAGCGTGGGGAGACAGTCAACGATCAGGTCATCATCAAGGCATTCATTCTCTCTCTACAAAACCAGGGTGCCTCCGCCCTGGGACGACTGGGTGCTGTCTGATCCCTGGGCCCTCAGGAAAGACTTCATGACGCCAGATAAGGTGTAAGAGCTAAAATGATTCAAGAGAACGGGGTGTGAGGATAATTACATGAAGACAAACTTTTATTTAAAGAGGCCTTTTGTTGCCGAAACAGACATGGTTGAAATGGGATAGGACCAGCGTCTATATATATTTTTTTAAATGCAAAAAAAGCAGCTTTATCTTTTTTTTTTTTTTGCCATAGAGTGCTTGCTCCCACCAGAGAGAGAAAGTGAGAGGGAAAGTGAGAAATCACCCCCCAGGGGGGGATGGCTATACTGCAATCCCTTCTCCTTTCATTCTCCTCCTGGAATCTTGGACTCACATGCATGGTGTGATTTTCTTTTTTTCTTTTTCTTTTATTCCACGGTGTGATTTTTCAAGCCACCAGGTCTGGGACTCAAACCATGCTCTGCCATGTGGGAGTCCAGCACCTTAACCACCACGCCACCTGCTGGTCTCCCCTTTTTTCTTTTATCATAGAACATGCTCATACATAAGAGAGAGAGAGAGAGAGTCTTGTCACACCATGATCCTCTTCCTCCTGTCCTCCAGCCTGTTGGATTCTGGGCATCCATGTGTACCCTGGTATGTTTTAGGCTGCCTGGGCTGGGGATTTGAACCATGGTTGCCATGTGGGATCTGGCTTCTCATGAGCAGTGCATTACCACTGCACCACAGAGCTGGCCCAACTGGCACCTATACAATGCTGTACGGAGCAGATACTCATGTGCCCATTCACCGAGGCTGAGTTATAAAGGAAGGGCAAGTCATGAATGGTCCTATCTCACAGCTGCAGAGTACAGTGAAGGCACTATTTAGCCTAAGACTATCCATACAAAGATAAGCATTATCTAAAATAATAGTAACATTAGGGACTAACTTGATTATAAGATAAGGTTACAAAAGCAAGGTCAGGCCCAGCCAGCGGTGTGGCGGTTAAGGGCTGGATCCCACATGGCCAACTGGGTGATTTGAGTTCCAGACCCAGCAGCTTGAAAAACACACTGGGTGCATGTATGTGTGTGCATGCCCAGAATCTCAAGAGGAGAAGGGATTGTGGCATGGCCATCCCCCCCCGTGGGAGTGCTTTCTCATATATATATATATATATATATCTGTCTGGTGAGCACACATATTCTATAGCAAATTTTAAAAAAGGCAAGGCCAAACATATCTGTTCCAACAATTAATGCAAATAGGATAAATTCAAGCACTTGCATCAGCAGCGCATATACTAAAATGGGAACAATACAGGGGAGATTAGCATGGCCCCTGCGCAAGGATAAATTCACGTATTAAAAGAAAATGATCCTGGGATCCAGCAGTTAGCATAATGGCTATGTTGCTGGACTCCCACGTAGTTGACCGTGGTTCGTGTCCCGGACCCGGTGGCTTAAAACTCACACTGGGTGCGTGTGCATGCATGCCCAAGATCCCGAGAGGAGAATGGAGGAGAAGGGATTGCGGCGTGGCCATCCCCCCTGGGGGATGATTTCTCGCTTTCTGTCTCTATGTCTCTCTCTGTCTGGCAAGTGCATGCGCCCTATAGCGAAAACCTCCCCCCGCCAAAAAAAAAAAAAAGAAAGAAAATGATCCCAACAATCTGATTCTAAAATTCATATGGAATTGCAAGGGACTTAAAATAGCCAAAAACAGGGACAAGCAGATGGCGTAATGGTTACGTTGCTGGATTCCCACATCGTTGACTGCCGTTTGAGTCCCAGACCTGGTGGCTTAAAACTCATACCAGGCATGCCCAAAATCCCAAGAGGAGAATGGAGAAGGGTTGAGGCGTGGCCATCCCCCCTGGGGGTGATTTCTCGCTTTCTGTCTCTCTGTCTCTCTGGCGAGTGCATGTGTACTAAAGCAAAAATCTCCCTTAAAAAAGAAAAAAAGCGGGAACCAGCAGTTAGCGTAATGGCTATGTCGCTGGACTCCCACGTAGTCGACCGCGGTTCGTGTCCCGGACCCGGTGGCTTAAAACTCACGCCGGGCGCGTGTGCGTGCGTGCCCAAGATCCCGAGAGGAGAATGGAGGAGAAGGGATTGCGGCGTGACCATCCCCCCTGGGGGTGATTTCTCGCTTTCTGTCTCTCTGTCTCTCTGGCGAGTGCATGTGTACTAAAGCAAAAATCTCCCTTAAAAAAGAAAAAAAGCCAAAAATGACTTTTGAAAAGAACATAGTTGAAGGACTAACACTACCTGATTTCAAGAATGATTCTAAAGCTGTGGCATTCAAAATTGCTGATATCGGTATAAAGATAATAAAATAGATTAGTCAATGGAACAGAACATAAAGTCAAGGATCAGCCAGGTGGCATAGTGGTTAAGATGGCTGGATCCCACAGGAACAACTGTGTTGTTCGAGTCCCAGATCCAGTGGCTTGAGAAACATACTGAGCATGTGTGCATGCACACCTAAAATCTCGAGAGAAGAATGGAGAAGAGACTGCAGCATGACCATCCCGGTGGGGATGATTTCCATCTCTGTCTCTATCTCTCTCTGGTGAGTGCATGTGCTCTGTGGCAAATACCTAAGAAAAAAAGGATAGATTTAGGATTGGGACCAGAGTTTGGTATGTTAGTTAAGGTGTTGGTTTCAAAATGGATTAAACATCAAAATTTTAGGCAAAAAATTTAAAATTTTTGAAAAAAAACATAGGACAAAATATTTATGACCTAGGGTCAAGGAAAGAGTTCTTAGGGACCAGCAGTTAGCGTAATGGCTGTCACTGGACTCCCACGTAGTTGACCGCAGTTCGCATCCTGGACCCAGTGGCTTAAACTCATGCCGGGCGCGTGTGCGTGCGTAAACATCAAAATTTTAGGCAAAAAATTTAAAATTTTTGAAAAAAAACATAGGACAAAATATTTATGACCTAGGGTCAAGGAAAGAGTTCTTAGGGACCAGCAGTTAGCGTAATGGCTGTCACTGGACTCCCACGTAGTTGACCGCAGTTCGCATCCTGGACCCAGTGGCTTAAACTCATGCCGGGCGCGTGTGCGTGCGTGCCCAAGATCCTGAGAGGAGAATGGAGAAGGGATTGCGGCGTGGCCATCCCCCCGGGGGGTGATTTCTCGCTTTCTGTCTCTCTGTCTCTCTCTGTCTGTCTGGTGAGCACATGTGCCCTGTAGCAAAAAAAAGAAAAAAAGAACTCTCAAAAAAAAAAAGAGTTCTTAGATAAAACACCAAAAGCATGTTCTGTAAAAGGAAAACTTGATTACTACACTTCATTAAAATTATAAACTTGTGCTCTTTAGAAAACATCCTAAAGAGAATAAAAAAGACAAGTCACAGAGTAACAGAAAGCAAAGCATGCATCTGATAAAGACCGTGTGTCCAGGCCAGCAGAGGCAGCTTGGGCAGAAGGTGCTGCTGTGCAATGCTGGGGCCACATGGGAGGTCCAAGTTCAGATGCCAGACCGACCCGTACAAGCCGGGTGTGGTAGCACATATCTGGGATCCTAGGTAATTGGGAGGCTGGAGCAAAGGGCTGCAAGGGAAGACCCTGTTAAAATCACCTTCCTCCTCCCCCCGGCAGTGTTCTCTCTCTCTCTCTTTATCTTACTCAGAAAAAAAGGTCATGTATCCAGAATATATAAGGAAGTATTAAAACTCAACTACAAAAAAACACTCTTAAAAAAATAGGAATGTACTGGGACTAGCAGGTGGCGTGGTGGTTAAAGCGTTGGACACTTCCACATGATTCCACCAGATTCAGGGTTCGAATCCTGAATCTGGTGGCTTGCTTTCTCACTTCCTCTCTCTCTCACTCTCACCCTCTGTCTCTCTCTGGTCAAATTAAGAAATAAATGAATGAATAAATAAAATAAATAATTATTAAAAATAAAATAGGAATGTACAAAAAATGAAAATAAATAAATAGATTAAAAAAATAGGCAACAGATTTGAACAAACACCTCAACAAGGAAGATATATAAGTGACAAAAGTATGAAAAGATGTTCAACATCATCATTCATTAAGCAAATATAAATTAAAATCACAAACAGACACCACTGCATACCTATGACAATAGCCAAAACTGAGATACCAATGCACATCTATTGGAATAGCTAAAAGTAAAAGCCCATACCAAGCGTTGTCGAGGATGTAGGCCAACTGAAATGTTCATACCCTGCTGGTGGGAAGGTAAAACAGTAGAGCCACTTTGGAAAAGTCCGATAGTTTCTACTGCTGTGTGATCCAGCTATTCCACCCCTAGGTATTTAACCCAGAGAAAAGGAAAGGCCTAGCCATAAAAAAAAAAAAAAAAAAGTGTGTACACAGATATTCATCGCAGTTTTGTTCGTAACAGTTAAAAACCGGGGGAAAGAAACACCAAATGTCCATCCATCAACTGATGAATGGATAAGCAGCGTACGGTCTATCCATACAATGGAATGTTACTTAGCAATGAAAAGGAATGAAATACTGATATATACAATGACATGGATGAATGTGAAAGATGCTGAATGAGAGAAGTCAGGCCGAAAAAGAGTACATGCCATATGATCCCAACCGTATAAAACTAGCAAATGCAGATGAATCTATAGTGATCTGAAGCAGAGTGGGGCCTGCCTTGCACCGGGTATGAGGAAACACTCGGGTATGATGCACAGGGTCACTCTCTTGATGGTGGTGATGGTTTCACAAGCATGCACATATGTCTGATCTTATCAAATTGTACACTTGGAAATAGGTGCAGTTTATCGAATGTCAATATTACCTCAACGAAACTGTTAAATAAAAAGAAAGAAAAGGTCTCCAGATTGCATAAAATAACAACCACAGTGGTGAAGATCCCCTCAAACGCTTACTATGGAACTTTTCGACATGACATTAACTCTATAATGGCAGTAAAGACAAAAGAAAGCACGCTTATGCTTTCCTGGAAAACACATTCCTTGGTGCCACCAGTAGAGACAAATTCTGAACCTTGAGATGTATCAAATGTGCGGAATCTAATGGGCTTCTGTGGTTCTTTCTCCCTTTTTCTA